TGTCCCTGCCCAGGGCAGGGGGTGGCACTGGATGGGCTTTGAGGTGCTTCCAACCCAAACCATTCCAGGATTCTGTGACAGGTCTGGAAGCAGGAGCTGGAGGAGCTCCTAGGAGGGGTCTCAGCCCTGTTGCTCTTTCCCAGCAAAGCCTTTGGGGCACTCCCAGCTCCAAAGGTCAGGAAGTGCACTCCCCCCTCCTCCCTCTGTCTGGGATCCTGGAGCTGAGCCACCCTCGTTCCCCTCGGGACAGTCAGCACTGGCTGCTGGGGGAAGACCTGTAATTTAGCTTGTCTTCCCTAAAAAGCCTGGCTGGAGCCTGGAAAGGCCCTAAAAACAGCTACAAACCCTCATGGTTTAAAAAAGAACCAGCCCAGGTTGCTCCAAGTCCCATCCAGCCTGGCCTTGGACCCTTCCAGGGATGGGGCAGCTCTGGGAAATCCTTTCCAGTGCCTCACCCCCCTCACAGGGAGGAATTTCCTCCTCGTGTCTCAGCTGAATCTCCCCTTTTTAGTTTTTTTAGGATTTTTTTGTAGTTTTTCAGAACTTGCAGTTCTGTGCTGTCGTTAAACGTTTCAGCAGGAACCAAAAGCTCAAAGTGAGGAGGAAAAGTGGGATAAAACCCCTTTTCTGTGCAGTTTTGGGCAAACCCCTTCCATCTGTGCTTCCACCCCACGGGGTGGGGACCCTCCTGCTGTGCTTTGGTGTCTCCTAGGAAGGCAGATCCAGAGACAAGGAGCTTTTGGGGGGAATCTCCGAGCATTCTGCAAAATTCAGCATTAAAGTTCTGCCCAGGAATGAACATTCCAAACACCCTCAGCACAGGCATTGGGATCCCAGAGCAGAACTTGCTGCAGGGGCAAGGTCAAGGCTGTGCTTAAAGCAATTAATCCCTTAAGACACTAATTACCCCCAATCCCAGGGGGGAGAGGTCGGCTTGGCCTGAGCTCGGAGGGACCTGTGAGGAGATCCTGGAGTGGCCTGGAAACCTCCACATCCCCTGAGAGCCCCAGTGGGACACTCTGAGGGGGAAGGAGAAGGGAGGGATGAGCCAGGGGTGGATTTGGGAATGATCTGGCCCCTCTGGCACCAGGGAGGAGGAAAATCAGGGCTCTGCAGCAGGTCTGGGCCTCCCAACACGCTCTGGTTCCACCTCTGTCCTGTGTTTGCCCCACGGCCCACTGGTGATTGAAGGTCATTTGGACAAAAAACGGGATCTGTTGGTCTCCAGAGCCTCTGGCAGCTCCCTCTGGGCTCTCCCCCTCCTCGGAGCCCTTCCCAAAATCCAGCTTTGAACCCAACCAAGCAGAGCCTGGAGGAGCAGTTTCCAAGGGTTTCCACAGCTCCATTTCTAACGCCAGAGGCCACACTCAAAGAGGCCTTTCCCTTGCCTGTTCATCCCAAATCCCTCCAAAACGAGGGCAGTAACACCTGCCTTTCAATCTCTCGCTCTCAGCCGGGGTTACCTCCCCACACTCATCCCTTCATTTGTGCCAGACCATAAAAACACTCCATTTCCACGTCCGGTTTCCCCGTTTGTCTCTGCCCATCCCCGTAATTTTCCGTGGGGAGAAGCCGGGTGTCAGCTCCCTCTCTGGAGCTGGGAATGTCCCCTCTCACCTCCTGCTTTTTCCCCCCAACATTCCAGGTCTCGAAAGCCTCTTCTGAGCTCATGAACTACTGCGAGCAGCATGCCCGGAACGACCCGCTGCTGGTTGGAGTCCCCGCTTCCGAGAACCCCTTTAAGGACAAAAAGCCCTGTACCATCCTATAGCTCCGGGTCCCTCCGGAAGGGCATCCTGCTCCAGCCACTGAAACCCAGCCCCAGCACCTGCACCCGCGCCCGGGGGTAAACTCTAAATGTTGGCTTCAAACAGAACTTAAATTCCCAAAAAAAAAACCCAAAACACACCACAGAACAACCAGTTACCCGGAGATAATAATTGGGGAGCGGTTTTTAGGGAAGGGTGTCCGTTCCCAGGAAAGGGGTGTCCGTTCCCGGGCACGGGCTGCACGTGGAGAGGGGTCGGAATTTAAATTGGGATTCGGAATAAACCGGGGTGGAGGGAGGGGGGGGGAGGATTTTAACAGGGGTATTGGAATTGGGGAGCAGGTGGGGGGGTCGTGGTGTTCCCAGTGGGATGTGAGGCCGGAGCTCCGGGTGCTCCCATCCAATTAAGTCTCCAATCAGCAGGAATTTGCTCTCGTTTCTGGAGAAGGGAACGAGGAGGGGGTCTGGGTGGGAGAGGTTTTGTAGAAAATTAGT